GCTATGCTTCCTAGAAAAAACGACCAACTCAGTTTTCTCCGTGGAGTATTCGATACCTAGCTGGATAGCCCAAGTAGACAAATTGTCTAAGGTATCCTGTAAGGGTCCTTGCAGGTTGACCCCTTTGGGCCCTGTCATAGACACTACGCCATCATCTGCAAGTTGTCTCAACGTGCAGTTGTCACTTAGACAATTGTCAATTTCTCTGACATAGAAATTGTACAAAAGGGGGCTTAAACATGAGCCCTGGGGGAGACCCATGTAACTAAATCGAGAAGCTGTAGAGTTTCCATGAGAAAAGCTCATATGTTTCTCTGACAGCAAATTGTACAAAAAGTTATTAATTAATGGGGAAAGGCCACAAGCGTGGAGTTTGTCTGAAAGGACTTCAACCGATACTGAATCAAAAGCCCCCTTGATATCCAAGAATACAGAAGCCATTTGCTCTTTTTTAGCAAAAGCCAACTGGATTTCTGTGGAAAGCAACGCGAGACAGTCGTTCGTTCCCTTACCCCTACGGAAACCAAATTGAGTATCTGAGAGTAGGTGGTTCGTCTCAACCCATTTGTCGAGGCGAAAAAGGATCATTTTCTCCAACAATTTTCGAATGCACGATAACATCGCGATGGGACGATACGAGTTATGATCTGTCGCGGGTTTTCCAGGCTTTTTAATGGCTATAACTCTCACTCGCCTCCAATCATCTGGAACAATATTGAACTCCAGGAACTGACAAAACAAGTTCAACATGCGCCTCTTAGCGACGTCTGGGAGGTTCTTCAACAAGTCGAACTTGATCCTATCAGCCCCCGGAGCCGAATTGCGACACGAAAGGAGCGCGAGTGAGAGCTCCAGCATTGAAAAAGGCTGGCTGATCTCGTCTACCGAATTCGTCGTTTCGCGAGGAATCATCTGTGCCGGCACGGAATCAGGACATACTTTTCGCGCGAACTTGAGAATCCACCGATCCGAGTACTCCTCGCTCTCGTTGTTTGAAGACCGGTTACGCATCCTTCGCGCCGTGTTCCAAAGCGTATTCATCGACGTTTCGCGCGATAAACCGTCCACGAATTGCCGCCAGTATCCGCGTTTCTTGGCTTTGATAAGGCTCTTGAGTTCGTGTTCAAGAGTCGAGTACGCTTCGAAATACTCGGGTGTTCCGCGTTTCCGGAAAAGCTTAAACGCGTCGGACTTTTTACGATAAACCTCAGTGCATTGCTGGTCCCACCAAGGGGTAGGAGGTTTCCTACGAAAAGACGTTCCTGGAACCGGCCGAGTTTGAGCTCGAAGCGCGCTGTTCAAGATCAGATTGGAGAGGAAGTTATATTCCTCCAACGGTGGAAGCTCTTCTACCGACGACACGGCTTCATCTATCGCGGTCTTGAACGTTGTCCAATCGATATTACGGGTGAGGTCGTACGCGACGTTAACGGATTCCGAAGAATTGAACCCACTGGCAATCGAAATGCCGATCGGCAAGTGATCACTACCGTGGGGATCCTGGATCACATTCCACGTGCAATCCAACGATAATGAATTAGAGCAAAGTGTGAGGTCTAATCTACTTCCATTTGAGGATGGACCAGCCAGACGTGTTACTTCTCCATTGTTAAGAATTGTCATATTGAAGTTATCACAGAGGTCATATATCAAAGTAGAACGGTTGTCATCATACAGTTCCCCCCAGCCTGTACCGTGGGAATTAAAATCTCCCATAATCAACCGTGGAGTAGGAAGAACTGAACAGATATCTGAAAGTTGTTTTTGACTAATCGAAACTCGGGGAGGAATATACACAGAAGCAATACAAAGGCTCTTGCCTTTAACAAAAGCCTGACATGCGACAACTTCAATACCTGGAAATTGTGGAAGATTCACTCTATAGAAGGAATGGCACTTTTTGATCCCCAAAAGTACTCCTCCTCCACGCGAATCCTCACGATCCAGTCGAATAATGTTAAAATCATGAAAAGGAAGATCGATATCTGAAGAGAGCCAAGTTTCACACAGAGCAAATGCATCACAATCATTATTGTGAACCAAAAACTTAAACGATTCTATCTTAGGAATAAGACTTCGACAATTCCACTGTAGAACAGTGATCAAATCCCCGACCTCGTTTGGAAAATTATCCATCGAAGGAGATGATTGCTGCAAGGAGGGGCCACTTCAATGTCAACTGCTTCAAGAGGGTTTTCACAGTAGGAAGCAGTGCCAGAACAATGCTTTTCAGAGGATCAGAAATATCGAGGTAATTGAGGATACTGTCCACAATGTTATCAAATGAGAACAACCCAGATGAAGAAGGGGCTTGTGTTCTGAAAATTGGGGCATCGGGGGTTTTGGATGTCCCCGGGAGAGGTGGAAAATCCTGGGTATAATCAGTTCTGCGGAATCCAGGAGGAGTAGAAGTCTCCTTTTTTCCACCACTCCTTGATTTGGGCAAGCTGATTTGGGGTTCTTGATCTGCAACTTTCCGCGAACGGATGCGTTTTCGTTTCCGGGCAGAACCTTCCGGAAAACTGAAAGAAACTCCCTCCTCAGCCAAGTCAGAGCCAGACTCGTCATCTGACAAAAGAGCGAAGGGATTTGTTTCGTTAGTCGATGGCTTGGCTGTCTTAAGCATTTCTGCAAAAGACCGCCTGGAACGTTCTTTAAGAGAGCGCTCTAGTTTTTCCCCACGTTGTTTATACACCGGACACGACGAGAGACCATGAGGAGGAGATCCTTTGCAGTACACGCATTTTGGTGCCGTGACTGTGCAGGCGCCATCCTCGTGCTTCTCCCCGCATTTGGAACAGCGTGCCTTGCTGCCACAGTGAGAGGCCGTATGTCCCAACTGTTTGCAGTTTTGGCAGATCATGACCCGAGGAACAAACAAGCGCACAGGTAGCCGAAGTTTTCCCAACTCGATGTACTGAGGAAGGGCTGAACCAGAAAAGGTCACGCGAAACGAGTCTGTGGGGGTAAAACTCTTTTTACCCTCGCTGACAGATACTGAGCCCAGTTTTTGGACATCCAGTATCTTCACCGGGGGGAGCAAGGGGTTCTTGAAACGGCCAACCGCCTGCTTCTCCAAGATCTCGGGGGTCAGACTCGCTTCGGTGACCACACCTTCGATCTCCACATCACGAGCTGGTATGTAAACCCTGTACTCAATCGTAAAGAGCTGGAAGGCAGCAATCTCGTTAGCCTGCTTCAGGTTAGAAACGACAACACGAAGTTTATTATGCCTAACCTTCGTGATTTCGGTCACGGCCGAGTATCGCTTCGTCAGATCAGTGGAAATTTGCATCAAGTTCAAAGGTTTGTTTTTGGGCTGAAAGTAGACAACCCATGGCCCAGTCGAGTCATCTGGATAGGCTCGCGATCGGGGGCTTTTCTGAGACGAACCATGAATGACAGGACGTTTTCGTCTTTTCTTGCCATCGAGTGGCAAACTGGTGTCATCTTCCGACAAAATGTCCATATCGTCTTCTGACGAGACGTCCATTTTGCCGTACTAGTGGGAGCGGTAAACGCTCTACCACTGAAACGATGCTTAAAACCACACAGACACAATAAACAGAAAAAAAACTACAAACACAGAAACACAAAATTAAATTTAACTGATGGGCGAGAGAAAGAAACAGGAAAAAAAAAACTTATCTGCTATACTACTACCACCGAGTGATTACACAGCAGCAGCGGAGCGACGCGCAGCGTGGGTGACCTTCGATGCGCGTGTGCGGGCGATCTTTGTAGTGGTGTGCTTGTATGAGGCTCGGCACTCAGCTGGACACACGATGATGGATGACCGGTATAAATGCGGAGGCAGATGCTGACACTCGATGACGATGATCTGTGTGCAGGTATGCGTGATCACGCACCGATGAAGCGCAAATTGGTTTGCGAATATCCAATTGCAAGTGAACAATTTTCTTTCCGATGACGCCGAAAACCACTTTCTTCTCAGAAAAACTCACTTTCAGATAATTGTTTAGCCGGTAACTATGCCAGTAATCACTAAGCGAGAAAAAACTGATAATTTAAACCAACTGAATACCGAGAAAACTTCCGAAATACCGAAGCGCGAAACAAGTCGACTGTACTTCTTGCTAGGTCGCAGTGAAATCCACAATACCTATAGTTTGACGTTAAAATTTTTCCAAATCGGGTCAATGATTTCCGAGAAAATGAGCCATGATAAATAGCTAATGTGTGGAAAGTGAACTTTTTTAAAAACGAAGTTAAACTCAAATTTCTTGATTTTTTTAAATAGCAAATCCATAAAAACTGTATAAAAAGGGTTTTTTTCATGATACCTATAAGCTCTAAATAAAGTTTTTGAACAAATATGGGCTAAACTAGCATTTGCAAAAATAGGTCCAACCATCAACATTTTTTAGGTCCAACCAAGATCAGTATAGGTCCAACCAACATCATAATTCTTTGCTGAATAAAAACGTTTTATAAAATTATTTGTTCATAATATTTAACTTTTTATGTTATTATTAGAAACAAGAAATGTAGATCTTTCCCCTAATCACGCATTTTTTATAATTATATGTTGAACTCATAAAAAAAATACAACATGAATGTTGACGTTGTGTGAAACCGGCCTAAATAGGTCCAACCATCATCAGTTACCCTATGTCACTCAAATGTCTGGTGGTTCTTTTTGACATAAAAATCTGACATGGGAAAAATCAATTATTTCTATTATTCATAGTTCCAGGCCAAATAGCGAAAAAATATTTTACCACTCAGAATTCCACTGCCACTTCCGATAATTGTTCGCTAGGGGCAATGAACTAAGTTTGTGCTGAAATTCGGCCATTTTGGCTCACGTCAAAGTTTTCAAAATAGCGTATTTCTACTCTATCTTGGACATATTCCTTGGAAAGCTCTCAATTAACAACTGTGAAAGTACCGTGAAAGAAAACTACGCTGAGGGCAATAGAAAGAAGAAACTCAAAATTGCTTTAACAAATCTTGCTCAAGTTCATCCCTATTTGCAGGAACCCGAGGTCGATGAACTGCCCAAACCCATCGGCCATCGGTTGGGCTGGATCCAGGGTGTACTGACGCCATGCCTGCTCAACATTTGGGGAGTAATGCTCTTCCTGCGACTCAGCTGGGTCGTTGGAGAGGCCGGTATCATTGAATCCCTGATCATCATGGCCCTGTCCTATGTGGTATGTGTCATCACAACCCTCTCCCTGTCGGCCCTTTGCACCAACGGACAAGTTCAAAGTGGTGGCATCTACTATATCATCTCCCGATCACTTGGGCCGGAATTTGGAGCGTCGGTTGGCGTGGTGTTTGCCTTTGCTAATGCCGTGAATGCATCCATGAATACTATCGGTTTTTGTAGTTCCTTGAATGAGTTATTAGGTAAGTTTGTCAACAACACATATCATGCATTTCATGCATACAAATCCAGCTCACATGATTTTCTTTTCCAGAATCTCAGGGAACTAAGATAGTTGATGGAGGCATAAACGATATTCGTATCGTCGGAACTATTGCACTTCTACTAATGGTGACCATCTGCGCTGTTGGTATGGATTGGGAAGTAAAAGCACAGAACTTTTTGCTAGTGGCCATTTTGCTGGCGATAGCAAGTTTCATAATCGGGGCGATCATAGGTCCTACTACCGGTGAGGATGCTAAAGGATTTCTTGGATTTTCGATGGCCGTAGTATCATCTAACATGGGACCGCAATATCGAGTGAGTGAAGGTGTTCAGCAAAACTTTTTCAGCGTGTTTGCCATTTTCTTTCCCAGTGTGACTGGAATTCAGAGTGGAGCCAACATTTGCGGTGACTTGAAAGATCCAGCTAGCGCCATTCCCAAGGGAACGCTTCTGGCTTGCCTAGTATCGGGAATTTCCTACATTCTCTTCACGTTATTTGCTGGTTCTGTGGCAGTTCGTGATGCATCCGGAAATCTCACGGATCTAGTGGGATCCAATTTCACTTCATGTGATATAGATCTCAACGTAAGCATATGTGAATGTAGTAAAAGGAAAATGCTTATTTTGCCATACTTTTACAGAACTGCAAATATGGGCTGAACAACGACTACGCGATCATGCAATTGATTGCTGCCTCGAGCGCCCTTATTTACCTCGGATGCTGGGCTGCTACACTCAGTACCGCATTGACCAACCTACTGTCCGTCCCTCGCCTGATACAAGCACTTGGAATCGACCGTATTTACCCGGGACTGATATTCTTCTCCAAGGGCTATGGAAAACATGGTGAACCGTACCGTGGATACATACTCGTCTTTTTAGTTTCCTTCGCATTTATCATGATCGCAGATTTGAACACAATCGCTTCGCTGATATCGAATTTTTTCCTAGCATCGTACGCTTTAGTGAACTTCTGCACTTTCCATGCTGCTACGGTCAAGCCTCTCGGTTGGCGTCCGACCTTCCGTTACTATCATCCTTGGCTGAGTATGGCCGGATCACTGCTGTGCGTGATCATCATGTTCTTGATCGATGTAGTATCCACATTCATCACTATTGTGATCATCTTCATCCTGTACCTTACGGTGGTCTACCGCAAACCGGATGTCAATTGGGGGTCATCAACCCAAGCTGCAGCGTACAAGTCGGCACTGAACTCGGCCCTTAATCTGGAACAAGTGGGAGACCATGTCAAAAACTACAACCCACAACTATTAGTGCTGACTGGAAATCCGCTGCATCGACCGGGATTGCTGAACTTTGCCAATTTGATCACAAAGAACAACTCCCTGATGATCGTGGGAAACGTAATAGAGAGAAGACTGGTCTACAAGGAGAGGAAATTGAACATTCAAGCTGGGAAAAAAGTGCTCAACGATTTGAAAATAAAAGCCTTCTACAACATCCTGGACGGGCTGCCATTTGACGAGGGTATACGAGCAATGATCCAATCGTCGGGATTCGGAAGAATGACTCCGAACATATTGATGATGGGATACAAGACAGATTGGCGCAAATGTAGCAGTGAGCAGCTGCATATTTATTACAACATTTTGCAGTAAGTAGCACCAGCGCTCCAATAAAATCAAAGAATTTGGTAGCCCCCCAGAGGCACCTGGAAAATTCTGGACAGGTAGCATTCGTAAGAGTTTGTAGCATTTTCGTCTGTTTTCAAGATTCCCTAGATCGGATATTTATTACACTTATATTCCACAACATTCTCTTGAACCTTAAGAAGTTGCTTCCTGGCAAACCTGAGCCAAGCTGGTGGCCGTTGTTATAAACGATTAATTGTCTTTCCTTACTAGCAATGCATTCGACAATCGGCTCGCCCTGACAATCCTGCGACTACCGAACGGTATCGACTGCTCGCACCTGGTTCCACCAAACCCAGAGCTGGATCTTGCCGATTCGGCCCTGAATATTATGTCTACGCTAACATATTTCAACACACCTGCCGGGAAGCGACTCCGGAAGGGCCTAATGCCAGTAAATTCCAACCTCGATCTTCATGGAATGGTTAACAGCAGCGAACAAGTCAGTGTGAACGTTCCAAGCGAAGGTAAGGTCTGTTGAAGTCAACATTGCTGCATAACAAAAAACATTTATTTCTGAATTTTTAGCACCAGGTATCAAACCAGCCACGGTTGCTTCCGTACAAATCCAACAGTTGAATCTGTTCCGCGATAAGCAACCGGCAGGATATATCGACGTATGGTGGTTGTACGACGATGGAGGTCTCACCATTTTGCTACCGTATATCATTTCAACTCGATCAAAATGGTCCGACTGCAAAATACGGGTATTTGCTCTAGCCAGTCAAAACACAAACGTCGAAGAGGAACGTGAAAAGTAAGTGCCTACACCGTTAACACACCAAATAATAATACAGCTTTTACCTTCGCCCTCCGATCAGCATGACAATTTTGCTCGATAAGCTGCGCATCAACTACGTATCCCTGGTCATGGTCAACGTGATCGATAAGCCACAGGAAGCAACGATCCAATCGCACCGTGCCCTCATCGACGCTCTGATAGAAGGACAGGAAACGGATGTATTCGTTAGCGAATCCGAGCAGGTCCAGTTGGAAGAGAAAACGTACCGTCAGCTGCGGCTACGGGAACTGCTGCAGCAGCACTCGAAGAACGCTTCCCTGATCGTGCTGTCCATGCCAATACCGCGGAAGGTACAATCTATAGCGAATTATTTAAAATAATATGTGCTATATTTTTTCTTTTCTTTTCTTCAGGGAATCGTTTCCGCACCGCTCTACATGTCGTGGTTAGAGATGCTCACGAAGGACATGCCACCGTTCTTACTTGTACGTGGCAACCAGACGTCTGTACTCACATTCTACTCCTAATTATGCAGCGAAGTTCAACTCGCAATTTTCAACTTTATCATTGAATGGAAAATAAATATCTGCTACGGTCAAGCATAAATACATTCGAGCAGTGTACTGGAAAAATCTTGACAAATTGATTTTGCACACATTAGCAAATTATTACCGACTTCAGTCAATTTTTACCGAGCTTCCAACATTGCAACATATGGTAAAAAATTGACATTAATCTGAAAGCCTATTTTGTTTAAATTTCCTGGAAATCAATTTAATTATGAAAAATACTCTGATATTGTCTTAATTTATTGATGCAGTATTTTATCGATGTGTTTCAACTGGACTTTAAGCTTAGGTTTCCTTTTCTGGAATTGTCACCAAGTCACCTTATTTTTAAAAACATACCCAGGGAATTTATAGAGACAGATAACAGCTCCAAACTGTTTGTGACGAGACAACGATGAACTGCAGCGTTGGAATAAAACACGCACACCAACATCTATGCATGTACGAATCCACACCACTGAGTACAACGCAAAGCAAAACACGAAGCGGTGTCTCATTCATCGTCATCGGCAGCTTCCGTTTCCGTTTGCATTCAACGGCGTTGACAAGTGCCTTCCTACTTTATAAAATAGAAAAGTAGTCATTATGCCAACGTAATTTTTAATGATATTGGAAACTCTCTCACTCGATAGCAAAACATATTACAAGCCCGGTATCCGGCCATTTGGCCGAATGCCATTTGACCGAATGGGTCGTTTGGCCCAATGCTATTTGGCCGAACACTTGATAGCACTACGCATCCCGTGAGAGGCTAACCATGCACCACTTGAACAGTTCAGAGAGGGAGCAAGCAGCGCGGAATAACCCACGTTCACGGTACACTCAATCCTGTTTTTATGTGATTTTTTTTTTCTTCCGTATCAAAATATCGTGTGTTCTCAAATTGCAACCAAATCAAGTGCAATTTGTTTTCAAATTCAGACAAATAAATCAAAGAAAAATATGGTTTTATTGAAAATTCTGTACTCATCCTACATGGGAAAATCAAAAATCGCAACATCGCAAATCGCAACAAATCCATCGGATCTGCCCTGAAGCCTCCGGAACTATTCATGACGTTTGTCCTGAATGTTTCTAAGGTGTCACTACGCAAACATTTGCCGACTTTTTTGTGATGCCAAAATCGGAAGCGTGAACCTGCCAAAACCCCTGCGCTTTGGTTAGTGAGCGTATAGCAATGAGGTGGATTATCGAGGTGAGGCAATCGCTTAAGTTGTGTGAGTAAAACCCCTGTACGATACAAGCAATTAGTAACGCCACTAATTGCGTTTACGTTGATTTTTTGGTTTACTAATATTTTACGATCTGCTTCACCTCTCTCTGTATCTCATTGAGCGTATAGGCCGTCGTTGTGCCAATTTAGTCGTGGCACATTTCGAGTAATTGCAGTTAGATCAAAAGTGCCTGAGAAAAATGCAAGTACTTTCGCAAATTACCCGAAGTTGCGATAGTGAACGTATGATCACAGACAAGCAGACATAACACTCTTAAAGCGTTCATCGAAATCGCTTTTAACGTTCAATTTAAATGTTTCTTAGCTGGTAGTACCGCAACTTGTGGTGCGCATAATCAATTCCCTAGCGTTTGACGTTTACACACTACAGCCATCTGTTGAGTGTATTGCCCACCATAATGTATAGGATAGAATGATATGCGGTAGTGTTTACAATGATAAAAGTTCAATGTGTTGTGTCTGTTTGTCTGTGATATAACATTGAGGTAACGTTAGGATAAAATCAAAACATTGAGAAATAGAACGCATCACTTTCAGAAATACTTCACTTCGCAACCGATGAACCATTCTGACGGCCATATGAGAACCCAAGTGTGTGTGTGTGTGTGTGTCTGTGTCATCCTCTATCCCTCACCAAGCCGGGGGCGTTGGACAAGTAGAACTGCGAATAATTTGATCAAATCTCATGCTCCTTAATGGTGCCCTTTATGTTGTGAAGACTAGTACTACAAAAAGGGTAACTTTTGAGGCAAGACAGGGTGTCCTCAACAGGTTAAGGGAACAGGATGCACTAAATGTCCACAACAGGTACAGCAAAACATCACATAGACGCCCTTATTCACACTAACTACTCAGGGGGTAGAAGGTCAAGAAGAGCCACCGCCGCCAACTAAAGCTTGAACCGGGTACCTGGGACTCCCACGATATACCCGCGGCAATGGTCAGCAGACGACGCCCTGTGCGTATTTAGTATGTAATATGTTTTATTTGGATACACAAAATGTTTGAAGCCATACGTCATCTAAACCATAATTTGCATCACCACAAATACACTTGTCAACAATCTTCAACTGGAACGTACTCACCAAATCACTTCACCCGGGAGCGCATTCCCTATGCTTCCACGCATATTTTTCTATCCACTCCAACCACACAACAACCAAATATCACTTTTCTTTTTCAAGTCACTCCGTGCACAAAAGCAATGCACATCGCAAAACCCTAACAATAGATCAGCGCCGTTCTCATCACCGCGTAAATAAACAGAAATTAAAATTTTCACTCGCGATGCCACAAATTTCTGGTCCGGGAGAAACAATCAAACCACGCAGCGGCAAATCTTCTGATGCTTGCAATTTTGCAACATGATGAATCATGTTTTCTTTCTCGATTCTAAAACTTCTCGGAAAGCGAGAAAACCACCACTCACACACGTATAACCGTCCGGGAGGCAGAGTGCCAGCGCTAATCCAGCAAATGCAGCCGAAAACTATGAAAGCGAATGCACGCACAAAACAGAGAACAAACTTAACACACAACCGTATCCAAAGGCGTTCGAAACTCGACTCCCTCTCGGCCATATGAGAACCCAAGTAACCATATAGTCGCAATATAGCTTGTATATTCTCACTTTGCTTGAGTATGGTTAGTTGGGGAATCTGATGAAACTGTCACTTCTTGAAACTGATCCCTTTCGAATTTCTTTCATTCTCTTTTTCTCGTCCCATATCACCATGACAATTCAGTGACAGATAGTGGACATGAAACCGACCACACAAACCAGCGAGGAAGGAATCAACCTCGAACCAGGAACGGAAATTAGTGCGGGTTTATCTCCCTCAGAAAACAAAAACCCAGAAAAGGCGGAATCATGTTAGAACAAACCAAGGACAATCTACGGAAGGAAATTACCGGTGAAGCACGAATTTAAATACGAAGCGTTAGAGAAAAAGTCCAAGGGATTCCAAAAGAATCAATTAACGGCGGCGGAAGAATAGAATATGGTGAGAGCTGTCCAATTATTTTTTACAGATTAAAAATCAAAATTAAACTAAATACATGGCAGGTTTGAAGAAAATATTTTCGAACCTGGAAGTGTGTATATATAACCAATATCCATTTGATAACGGTGATGCATACATGCGGGGCTTATTGTGAGTGAACGTAACCTCGGAATGGGCGTGACTCTCCAGACATTCTGAAATGGGTTGCTGGATCTGCAATAGAGCTATCACCTTCTAACTTCCGGACTAAAGCTGTCTACAATGACCATAAATGCGACATTGTAGAGAGAGTTCTTCCATAATAACACTACCGGCCAGTGGAGTTTAGAGGGAAATCACACACACAGAAACGGAACATTACTATAGTTAACGAATTATAATTGTAATTCAAGTTTATCGGCTCCGTAGAATTTGTAAAAACTGTTGAGTCTTATTAATTCAGGGTGGTAAAAATTTAATATTTTACATCACTCTATTTCACTTGCAATGCTGTGATATTCAAAACTGAATACGAGTCACTAAAGAACTCCTAACATTATTGACGAAATATGAGTAAGAGGAGTTAATTTGTTTTTCTTTTTCAAAAAATGGATACCTATATTCCTTTTGTACACTATTTAACGTTTACTGTTTTCAAAACCAATCCACACGAATGGTTACAAAGAATACGAAAGGTTTATCTCCTCCACAGCAAACATCGATCACGAGGCCCAGAATGTCGACTTCGTACTGCGATAAACGGCACCCACGCGTAAATTTAAACTTCAATATTTGCCCTTCAATTGTCAGATCAATTACCTAGATCCCAACCGGTGCTATATTAAATCGCACCATTTTATGCTTCTGATACAGGACGTTTAACCTCCCATCAGTGACATCATTATATGGGAGAAATCGACATCGCACCTCCCAATGATTCGCACCCGCCAACTGACCGCTCACTCATCTATTGGTCGATACGTCACACCGGGAGATGTCTAACGAGCTGAGAAAATTATCATCCATCAACAAATTTTCTCCATCTCCAAACGGCGTCGCCCGTCCACCCACAAGATGCGAGAACGCCACCTGAGAGCGTCGAGCAGACGACGCGACGTGCGACGAGCGGCACCCGCTAACGTAGCTTTTGTTTGGCTTTAATTTACACCACATCCCCAGTGACCGAGAACCTATATAATAGAGTAGCCACAAATGGCACTTTTCACAGTTGATCTGGTGAGCGCGCGTTTGGCGTTCAGTATCGCAAAATTGTCCTGCGGTCAGCGATTTAAACGATTGTGGGTGGGGCGAAGGTACAATAAGTACCTACCTAGCAGCGCTCGATCAGTGCCGCGTCGGGAAATCGACGAGTTTTGTCTCGAGTGGGGTTCCAGCTTGTGCCTAGTGCAGTGACTACAACGAAGCGGACAACACGAACCTGGATTTTGTTTTCCGTAGCAAGTGAATTAGGATTGTCCTGAGAAAAAGTGAAACTCAGTTGCCGGCCTATCTTGGAACGCTCTGTCGAGTGATGCGTAGTGATTTGAGAAGGTTTAATCAATTGAAGCCTATTCCGCAGCAAATTTGGACGTACAATTCCTAGTGTGAGTTAACGGAAGCTGCGTAGGAGGCAGCTGACAAGACGTGAAACAAAGTGAATGGCGTGAAGTTGAAAAATTTAAAAAAAATACCGGTGATTGAAAATTGTGGTCAGACATAAAGGTTGTTCGGCAATAGATCTTTGATTTTGTTTTTATAAAACGGATAAGGGCAACATTGAGCGAAGTTTCATCTGCCTAAGCACTTCGCGTTTTCAGCAGCACAAATCTCATCATCTAAAAGCCAGGAAAACGACTTATGCCACTTCCAGTCTTATTAATTGAGAGCGTTCTATGCAAACCAACACATATAAATTTGTACATTTGTGCACAGCAATATTATATGCCAAGGTAGCACGAGAAAATGTACAACCCATAAGATTTTCCAGACCGCACCGGAAATCGTCGGGGTCAGTGGTCCTGCTATCAGAGGGCCAGCTTCGTACATTAAGTAAATCGCCAGTTATGTACCCAAGAAAATGTAAAGTTGCGAAACAAATAGTTATTGAAAAATTACGCATAGCCGGCACCGGTGGTGTAGTAGTAAGCGTGACTGCTTTCTCACCCTAATGGGTCTGGGTTCAATCCCAGCCGAGGTCGGTGGGATTTTTCTGAGGCATAAAAATCGTTGGTCCCGGCCCATATGTGTTGAATGGGTGCGATATCCTACGCAGGTGTGGAAACTGCCTTCCTGCACATTCGATTGCCGTCAATGGATGGCAATCGATGTCCGTCGGTGATTGGCACTAGATTGCGGAACAGAGACCGACGTTAAATAAAGGAAAAAGAAAAATTACGCATAATGTGCAAACTGTCGAAAATAAAAACTGTGTCATACAGTCATCGCACTTATCTGATTTTTCTGCAAAGCAATTAAAAGCGAGGATAATTCGGACGTGATGTATAACCGCGTTCCTTCACACTTATGACTATCAATGGTCCCCGATATTAAAATTGAACCCAGGTAACCAGATTACATCAAAGTTGTTTCTGATAATTTCACTCAAAAGTCATTTGACATTAATTTTTATTGATCAGATTTTTTTCACTGTTCACGTTTTTAAATTTCGTTTTTTTTTCCTGGTGATAAAAATGCCCATAATAAATCATCAGTCCACTATAGAAGAAAACAGCAAGCCGAGAAAAACGATACTGACAATGTATTTCTCCGTAGGAACTTATAGCTGGGACAACTTAGTTTTTGTACAATTCACCATATTTTTGTGAACAAAACATGTAACTTTTTGTGCACATTGTAAATCGACAATAGATTACAATCGATTCGATTCCAATGGATAATTTATTTCTGAAAAAAATCGTTATGGGTTTGTTATGTTTTAATGGGCAGTTCAGCTTGATAAGTGAGTAGATGAGTGTTTTGTGACGAGTAACGGAAATTTTTTGATTTTGATTGAGTTTCAAGTCGGCTCAACTGCAAACTTAGAAAAATTAATGTAAATTTAGGTGCTGTGAGACTGACATATACGAGCGTCAATTTTGACATAAAATTGAGTCATAATAGACGCAAAATTCAGCTCAATCAAACGTACTTTCGAACTTTTCAGTCTCTGAGCACTTAATTTTACATAACATGTTTGTTACCGCCACATCCTTTATGTCACCTTCCTTTTCACTCCACCCATCAAATTTTGTACAACCAATATTCCCAGTGTTTTTGTTGTTTTTACCAAAATTTTCTACAACTCCAGCTCTGTTTTAATAGTTTTGGGATGTTTGCGAAGTTCCGTCTTCATAAATGCCCACAATTTTTCAATTGGGCGAAGTTCCTGTGAATTTGGTGGGTTCATATCTTTTGGCACAACATTAACTCCGTTTGCTCGGTACCACACCAACACGATCAAGCGTAGTGGCAGGATGCTAGATCAGGCCAAAACAAAGAGTTGATCCTTTGTGCTTCCTTATGAATGGCAAGAGACGCTTCTTAAGGCACTCTTCCGTGTAAATCGCACCGTTGATTGTTCCGAATGTGGTGAAGGGTGCGCTTATTTCACCACATCCGCAAATCGCCTGGCAGATCAGAAACTTCTTTGCAAATTTCGATAATTTCTTCTTTCGAACATCCTCCGGAACATCGAACTTAGACTTGGTAATGAAATATTCTTGCCCAGGAAGTTGGCGGAAGTCGGCCTTGACGTAAGTTTCATCATCCATCACAATGCAACAATGATTTGGTGAGCAACTGCGAGTAAAGTTTCCGGGGGCGAGGTTTCGCAGTGATGTTTTGCTTTACATTGGGGCTTTTTGCACCTTGTAAACATGTAACCCAGCACGCTTCATGGTTTTCTGCACAAAACCGACTGATACCTTGAACTTTTGAGCGACATCTCGAAATGGCATGTTTGGACGGTTCTTGAACTGTTGCACAACTTTTCTGGTTATTTTACTGTCCATTGGACCACTTTTACGACCACTCCCTTCCTTTCTTCGAGCACGCAGACGCTCATTGAAGGTTCTTGTCACACGAGACACAGTTGTATTTGCAATTCCAAGCTTTTTAGCGATCCATCGGTTGGACGCCTCTGGATGTTGTTGTAAGTGCACAAAATTTGTACACGAACAATTTCTTGTGTTTCGACGACATGACTGGAACTACTGTATGAATAACTATGAAACTTGACATATGTAAATAATACACTATGAATAAGATTTACTAAAATTTTCAGGTGTTTTACTCATACGGTTCAAAAGTTACAGAAGATTCTCGGTGTGCCATTTTTATCGAATACACCCTTTAATTCTGAGTAGCTACGTAGTAAAAAAGCATTTTTCTACACGAAACGAAAATCAATTATTTAATTCATGTGTTTCACTTATACATTTTTGCCAAAGCATCAGCCTTATACATTCCATAAGACAAACCACATAGGTCCTATGAGAATGCGTAAAAGTTATGTGTGACCGCTTATACATTTCATTTGACACATGATCTTTATTAACTTTTTGCAAGGCGTCTGCTTATTAGTTGACTTATACATTTTATGAATAATCAGCAATGGAAATTTGCCAAAAGGTATAAGGAGATTTCTATCCGTGTAGGGTTCAAGAAGCATTTCATCGTTTTAATATTGCAAAAACGCACAGTCAGTTGTGACTCATGGCATGACCAAACACTCCCGGGTAACTAGCTCAGTAGCATGAGACCCCTGAACAGTGTCGCAGGGCCGACATGCTACTGGCTATTTGGAGGGGCTACGCGGACAAAGTATGAAAACACAGGAACATTCACATTTTCTAAAACATTGATTGCCCTTTTCTGTGGCGTGTGTGTGTGTGTGGGTTTTCACATATATGTGGCGTGTGTGCGAGGGTTTAAAATTTGTACTGTACTCACTGCTTCAGCGGGATCTCCTACGGCGTCGCGACGCTGGCATTGACCCACACGGCTGCTCCTGCACTACCGTGTGGCCGGAAACTGGCGGGGCGGGCTGTAAACAGCGGATCTGGTGGCGTTCATCAGCGACATACGGCTCAGCAGGCGTTGCTGGCTCGTTTGGCTGGCAGGCGTCTTCCGTCATTGTCAACATCGGCTGACCGTGGCATGGCCACCTTGGTCGAGCCGAGACGGGACCTGCCTTGGCAGTTAAGGCCTGAGGGAATCGTTTCTGATGGACGATCGAAGATCATTTGCGATTAGGCTCGGAAGCCATCTTGACTTCCGAGCCGAGCCGTGTAAAACCGTTTTATTTTAAGTACGAGGTGTACAAGATGTACGAAAGCATAAGAGGTTCTGAGAATTATCACGATTCAGTCAGGGAAATTTCCGTCAGGGAAAATTCCGTCAGGATAAAAAAAACAATTACCTGAACGGAGGCAGTCCAACATCCCAGAAACCCCACTAGAGGGGGGGGGGGGGTTACACTAAATCACACTGCACTTTAAAATACCAGTCTTTTGCATACGAACGCCTGTTTGTTTGTGGTCAATCTTCCACTGGAAGATGGCCTCTCCAATATCTAATCTAACAATCTAATCTAACACCAACACAGCCAGTTCTTGAAAGCATCCTGGAAAATAGTGGATATACCTTCATAATTTGTCTTGTCTATTTGATATATGTTTCACATCAAAGATGCGTCACAACTATCAAAACGGCCAGGCCTACTGTGCAGCATTTAAGGGATAAGATGATTCAGAAAACATCGGGCCTGTTTAAATCGAAGATTTAAACACGATGCTTCAGAATCCAATAAATGGATGAAACGTGGACATCTCGTACCGCATGACGGTTAAGTCATGCTCCATTTTCTTCTGACGATTGGGACATGAGCACTAACTCTTGCCCTAGCCTTTTATGGCTTATGGCTATAGCGCCATAACTCGCTTTCTGAAAAGAGAACGGGGAAAGGAAAAGGAGAAGGACAAAGGGAAAAGGATTATGTAAACTCATACAAACATATACAAATGCATAACAGCGGGGGTCACTACCCGAGTCTTGTCACTATTATCAAGTCCTAATAAGTAACAAGCACTAAAATGTAATTCTTTGATTACTGAAAAATCCTGATCCCTTAGTTTGAAGTTGTAACGACTAGGGTTCGGTGGTAGATCTCAAGACCAACAATTGATATGGCCTTAACTCCATTTTGTAAACAAACCTTGTAAGGTCACTCTCTCGCGAACCGAAACCTTCATTCGCAAACCTAAACCACAATCGGGTAGAGGAGAATTTCCCCTACCTTTTCATTATGTTGGTTTGCCTTTGCGGACTTCGGTTCGCGAGAAAATGGCCCTACAAGGCTCGTCTACAAAATGGAGATAAGTCCATTTCAATTGTTGGTCTTGATCTTACACTCCAGTAACGTACCACAAAAAGGTGATCTCTCAATGTTACTGGTTTGAACAGATAAAAATTTACAAAATGGAACGAACTCACCAAGTTTAGCCAATAGAACCTGAAGGCTGCCTGACATGTGTTAATGTAGAAGTTCAAATTGTAGACGAAGCTTGACGAACATCAACATGAACTAGTCCGGTTTATGGTAGTTGCGCGGAATGTCTTCCGTCGACTTGAGATGAACAAATGTTCGGATGTATGTAGTCGAATTTGATGGCAAGCCTTTTCGTGGCCAATAGTCAGGTTCAACGCTGCGACTCCACGAATGATGGAACTAATGATGGGACGAATGATGGGACGAATGATGGGACGAATGATGGGACGAATGATGGGACGAATGATGGGACGAATGATGGGACGAATGATGGGACACCTCGTGTCTACTGGCATGTTGTCGTAATTTCACTGAAAATCTCAATATTTCATTAATTCCTACGCAGTGACTGCACAAAATTTAAAGCAAAAAACTCGAATTTATCCACCTATGGTGTGATCAGACCCTTCTTACTTATTCAAGTTTATTTATTTTATTGTAATTATCAGTGACCAAGCCCCCCACCCCCGTGTCATCCAGTGACGCTACGCCACTGCCTGGGGGTACCCGGAATATATCCGGGTGTAGTCTATTTGGTGAGGCTACCAATCACCTTATCATCGTATTTTAATGTGATTTAATGGGTTTTAATTCAATTCATATTCAAGCAACTTCCCCGGGGTACCCGGAACATGTCCAAGTGTGTTCAATGTGGTCTGGAACACTTAACACGACTTGCATTGATCTTATTTTTGAATTCTGTAGTAATTTGATGTGTCGCGTTTTCCGTTAAATCCAGCGTGAAGGCCCATATTCATCGGATCTTATTCCGGCCATATCTCCGGAACCGGTTCACCGATTCCAAAACCGTTCAATAGCGTTCAATGGGACCCCAAGACCTATCATTTGGCGCCGAGTTTGTCCAAATCGGTTGAGCGGTTGCTGAGAAACGTGAGCGCATTCATTTCGTTACATACACACACACATACACACATACACACACACACATACAGACATGTTCCGATCTCGTCGAGCTGAGTCGAATGGTACATGACACTCGGCCCTCCGGGCCTCGGATCGATAGTCGGTTTTTCAAGTGATATCTATACCCTTCTTTGTACGAAGGGTAAAAACTTAGCGGTGTAGAGAATCGATCATCGCAGTTAGGCCCTTATGATTCTGAGTAGTAGATTTCATCATTTTTCACCCATTTTTCACCGTATTTGTTTTCCAAATAACTCGGAAACAGCAGGCTGTGAAATTTTGGTGTATTTCAAAATAAACAACTTTTTATCCAGACATCTAGTTTCCGCAATGTCAGAGTAAAAAGTTAGTTTTTCGCGGCATGGATGAGTTGCGAACTATCTATAGTTTTCGTTATCGCGGTGCCAACCCTCGGAAATTATTCGTTTAAGAGATTTTGGGTTTTTCGCCCAAATTGCATTTCTGGCCCACTGTGCTGCGTTTGAAATTTTAAAAGCTATCTTTATAATTTTTCAATAAATATCCGTGAAACTCTGCTCAGCTTTTCCTAATTAGTGTTCTTAATTCCATTGAAGTTCTACTTAGAATTCCATTGAATATGCGCTTAGAAATATCTGGAAATTCTCCTGTCATAATTCCTTGAAATTCTCCTCAGAATTTCTATGAGTTTATTCTTAGATCACGCTTTACATTGTTTTCAATACAAAACATTATTCAGAAATACTTTGAAAATGCCATGTGATTCAATTCTTTTGGAATCATTCTCATTTTTTTTACCATCATCGGATTTTTTTTTCCTTTGGAATCCTTCTCAAGATTCCTTTAAAAATCTACTCCGAATTTCTTTGGAATAATGTTTAAGAGTTTCTAAGATTTTTTCCATTATTTAGATTTTATTTAACAACCGGCGACTTTATCTTAGATGCAGGAAAAATTTCGCTTTGCTGTTGTGAGATGCACATGCACGCACGCTTAGTAGATAGGAAGAATATTGATGAAGATTTTGAAGATTTTCTGAAAATAGTTGGAGAGCGATGCACGTAGATGGATTATGATGCAAGAGATGTTTTTTTTCGTGGATTGATTCACTAGCATGATATTTTCCGACCATTTATATTTAGATGTGTCGCAACCCCAGGATTTTTGTTATGTTCTTTATATTGTTATGGTCACTTTAACACTCTTGGGTCATTTGTGACTTGCCCGGGTTGAGATTTGGACTCGTGACTTGGCATGATAGGTATGGATTTTAACCACTACGCCGGGACCGTCTCCCCAACCGGATTATTGTAATCTGCATCTGGTAGTGACATTGTTCAATCAATTGTGTGCTTATTCTTCCTTATACTAATTTGATTCTGTTATTACTGCTAAGGAAAATTATATAGGCAGGGTACAAAAACTTGAGGATTGTGTTGCGAATTGCAAAAAAATAATTCTAATGCTGTAGAAATTATCGTTAGAATTCAGTAAGACTTTTCCTCACATTTTCATTCCTCAGCTTACATTTGATATAAGGTAAATTTGTTTTGCATGTACCCGTAGATTTTTTTATAATCTCTTAAAATTATCATTAGAATTTTTATCAATTCTCCTCAAAATACTTTCGAGTTCTTCTCAAAATTCTCAAAAAATAAATCCTACTCTACGAACATCATAACTATTCCAAAGCACAGAATCTTCTAATATGTTTTATAATACAGTTTAGGGATTTTTTTTTTCAAAGTCCAACACCTTGAATATTACTTTAAGATTGACGGGAAAATATCTCATACTCTGTATAAAATCCTAATCATTGAATCTTGGAAATTTCACCAAATCCAAGACGATTTCGAATTGCTTTTCCTGGAACTTGTTTGTTATAATTCAAGGATTTAAACAAAACCGGAGATCAATCTTTACTATCCAATATTTGGGCCTCATGATCAAAGCATGATCGAATGGCCTTTGAAAACGTCTTGTTGATTCAATTTAAGCAAATTTCGAAGTTTGGAGACCTTGAAAAACAATTATGAGGCATAGCAAGTTAGGACATGAAGCATGTATATTTTTCATAAATATTGAACATGCACAAAAAAGATTGCTGAGCTAGGGGGTGGCCTGGCCCCTTATGTTCCCCTGGCTAACCTATGAATCTAATTCAGACCAATCGTTGCACGCTAAAAAGCTTTAAACATATGTTCCATTTGATGAATGTTTACTTAAATTTGACAAATAACCCTGCTATTCTAGCATACTTATTTCTGACAGACAAGAAACCAATTTTGACAAAAAAAACTACTCGAAAATCGACAACAGCCTAAGCACCTCTTCAGGAGCCTCAGATAGCCTAGTCAGTGCCGACATGGTATTACCAAGCCGGAGGCGGTGGGTTGGATTCCCGGTCCGGTCTAGAACATCTAGAGTATCATTGTACCAGACAAATGCATTGGTTTGCATAGAAAGCTCTCAATCAATAGCTGTGTTGAGAGCCGGTAAAACTGAAGAGCTCTTCATCGTTAGCGATTATGTTGAATATTTCCAATTGCAGTGAGGACAGAAATCTTGCTTGACCAACCAAATTCTAATTAATTTGTTAAAACGTGAATCAATAGAATACCATCGTAAGCATTATATAGGCATTAATTTGACCTCCTTTTGATAAATATTTGCCACCGTTCTACGTTCCCAACATTATTTTCAGTAGAATGTAGATTCACGTGAACGGCGATACCCAAACCACACTGGGCACAGCTCAACCTAAGCAATATGTTCTGATCGGTGACATTCCAGTACAAATTAATAAATCAACACCACAACGGCATGCCCATCACTCATCATCTTGTCAGCTGGCTTGGCGCGCAAGTGCGCTTCCCTACGTGTCATTCTATTGGCATCCCATGAACTGAATTGTCTCAGTAATACACGTGTTGATGTTGATTATCCACAGTCGAGCTCGATCGCAGTTGGGATGATACACACTTTCTAAAAATTGCTCTACGGGTGCTTTCGGAGTCAAATTCATCGATCTTCAACAAACGCCGATCACAATGAAGCTGGATCGTTTCTCGATAACCCGCATCAGCAATCGCATTCTGGGAAAAACGGCCAACAACAACAGTGCGAACACCACTACCAACAGCAAAAAGGGTAGCGAACCAACGGCTACTTTCACCATACACGAGAACGGTGGAAATTGTCCGGAGTATGATTCGACAACGATAGACTTCGGCGGCCATACCGTTTCCTCGGGCACGTCCGATGGCAGCGAACGGCGCAGTAGCGTGTATCATTTGACGAGGTAAGTTAGAATGTGGAATCGGTGCAACACTTGATGCAGATGAATATCTTGCCACAACTGCTCCGAATCAATGAATGATTGCAATCTACAAGATTCTCGTAGGTAGGTGCAAATGAGGCAAGGAAAAACTAGTGCAATTATGGAATCATTGACGCGATGAGCACATTATGATGATGCAACCTTTCAACTGCGTCGCACCTGTATCAACAGTTTGCACCACATTGATAACAATGGGTTCCAATGTTGATAACGATCGCGTACGGTGAATGACACTACACACTATGCTATATTCTATTTTTGTAATAAATCAAGTTTTAGCATATTTATGCACGGTGGATTTTTTTTTTCGATAGAAGGTGCATGCGAAATATGTAACGGCAAAGATTAAAAAACATCCATTCAAATTTTTGTGACATTTGGACATTTCATAAGGTCCTATCTGCATTGATCAATTTTTTTCATCGATTTTCTTTTTGGATAACCACGGCCATGCAAACATGTTTTAAGCCGAACAATGGATTAGGTCCTAAGTAACATTGAGAGATTCTCAACGTCGATTTTCTCTTTGTGTTCCCAGTACCGTGTAAAAACATTGCCAACTGGGTACTGCGGACTATAGTCACTATATTCACAGTCTGACGGAGACAATGACGGGATCCAATTTGACCTGTTACTTACGGGAGCCAATCGAGCATGACTGTTTGTTTTTTGGATCAATGTGGTGGAAGTATTGTGATCAATGTTGGTTGGTGGTAATTAATCCATGCGTTCCTGGATGATATATGTTTACGTTTTTATTACTAAATACTTTAAAATTGTTTTTGCTTAATGATGCAATGGCTATTTGTCAAACTGATTGCAGGTATACGTTGAAAAGTGTAAGATGATTGATATTCTTTTTAAACATTTCCTCCTATTCCATTTCCAATTTTAGGCTTTAATATTGATAATGATAGTAAAAATATGTTAATGTTGCGTAAAAAGAAAATGTTCTGTAAAGGCGTGAGCATTTTCACGGGGTACCAAATTTTTATTCCAAAAATCAAAGTTGCCAGTTTGTCGGATTTTATATCTACCCGACTATGAAATTAATGACTATACTACGGACTCAATCAATTTTATTTTGCAAGCAAATGGAAAACTGCTTGAAAATTTTCCCAAGCATTGTTTCGTTCTTCCTCAGCTAATTCCCACCAAAAGCTCTGACCCAGAAATGCTCGAGCCCTCATGACTCTAATAAAGTTTGTTTACATACCTATATCGCCAAACTAAATCTTTTATTGGATTTGAAAACTATGCTCTGTCATCAAAACTGTGCTGGAATATTGTCTGTTTCATTGGAAACCAAACTCACCAAAACCATCGCAAAAATTCGACGATTTCTGCAACGGTTTCGACGCATTTACCTTCAATCAAACTTATGCCTTCATCACTAAGCCAGTTCGTTTCTACCCTTGGAGCTTACAATTAATAGTGTGTTACAACAAATTATGGTTCATTCCTATAAAATGCCAGTACTTAATGATAGATAAGAAGAGTAATTACATTTGTGGTTTCTGAATGTTTGGCTCCCGTTTTAAAGTTCACACTGTCTCCCAAATGACAAGCATATTGAGTGAGGCGCCAGTAGTCAAATTTCCAGCTATTTTCAACAAGCACTTCGATGGAAAAAGCTAATATCTAGCTAATACAACAAACACGTCCAGAAACAGTATTATTGCCAAGTTATTAACGAAAGATATAGTCGATGAAGAGAATCGATCAATGTTACTCAGAACCTAATCTAGGGTAAATGTGCCCGTTTTTGGCCCAAGAGGTTCCCCTATCTCAAGTTTCTTCACCAAATTTAATTCCATGTAAGGCTAAAACACATATTTTGCCATATATCTACGCAAATACAACCATAAAAAATATTTCAAATTTGAGCTAGTCATCAGGGTCAAAAGCTTCAAAGCAACGGACAACCGCAGCATGCTATTACAGCAGCGGTTATCAAATAATCTGACGCCAAATGCTAATTTTTGGCAATATCTAGACTCGCATATTCGAAGCATTTAAAGCATTTTTCTAGAGCAAATCATGATCTACAAGAAGGTTATAATGCTGCGTAAGTATCCGGGAATCTTGGTACACAAAGAAAGATTCAACAAACTGCGTGTAGAAGCACCGACTTATGATGTGGCAAATAAAATTGCTGAACACGAGCTTTTTAATGTTGAGTATAACATCTACATCCCTTCTCGAGATGTGGAGATAGAAGGCGTGGTCTCCGACGCGAGTCTGCCTGTCGAGGACTTGAAACATGCCTCGGGAACTTTTAAAAACTCGACATTCGCTCCGCGCTAGTGAAGATACTGGATGTAAGGCAACTGCATTCAGCATCTTTGCTAGACGGTAAAAAAGTTTATAACATTCAGACTCGTTTCGGGTGACTTTCGCAGGTTCAGTTCTCCCAAACTTTGTTAAAATTGATGGTGCTTTTTTCCGGTGCGACTGTTTGTACAGAGGGTATATAATTGTACCAACTGCAAAAGGCTGGGACACTCGGCCAGCCATTGCGGCAACAAAACTCGTTGTGGCAAATGTGGTGAAAACCACAAAGAGGATTCTTGCCACAAAGAATCAGTAAAATGCGCTTACTGTGGCGAGAATCCTCACCCCTTGCAGGAGTGCCCGATGTACAAACAGCACTCCGATAAAGTGCAGCGTTCAATCTCTGGACGCTCCAAGCAGACATATGCTCAAATGTTGAAGGCTGCATCAGCCGTCCAAGATGCAAACCAATTTTCGGTTTTGTCAGTTGAAGAATCGGACTCTGACTCATCCGATGAAGGTGATTCTACGGTGGTACACGCACCTTCAAAAATGGACGGTTCCTCAAAAAGAAAATGCCCCTCCCCGAAAGTGCGCCGTAAGAAAACTAAAATTATTTCCAGACGATTGCCAAATTCCCAGGGTAATGGGGATGAAAAAACAAAACCGGAGGCTCCTGTTGATCCAATCCCTGGATGCAGCAAGAATTTTCCGCCATTGCCCAACAAAGATAAAAAAAATAAAAAAGCTGCTCCTCAAACTTCTCAAAAGAAATCCAAGTCCGAACGAGGTTTGCTAGCTTTTTCGGACATTGTGGAATTCATATTAAACATGTTCAACATACAAGACCCTCTAAGAAGCTTAGTTTCTGCCTTGCTTCCAACGTTAGAATCATATCTTAAGCAATTGACTGTTTCATGGCCCCTCCTTGCATCAATCATATCTTTCGATGGATAATTCGTCGAATGAGGTTGAAGATATGATCACGGTGCTACAGTGGAACTGCCGTAGTCTAGTGCCTAAACTAGACTCGTTCAAATTTTTACTTCACAATTCTGATTGTGATATATTTGCTCTCTGTGAAACATGGCTTTCTTCCGATAAAGAACTCAACTTCCACGATTTTAACATTATACGCCTGGATAGAGACGATTCTTATGGAGGAGTACTTTTAGGGATCAAAAAGTGCTACCCTTTCTACAAAATTTCCCTTCCTGCTCTATCCGGCGTCGAAATCGTTGCTTGCCAAATAAATATGAAGAACAAAGATCTTTGCATAGCTTCAGTATACGTTCCACCAAGAACCTCCATTAGCCGTAGTCAACTCTGGAATCTAGTTTCGATTCTTCCATCCCCAGTATTAATTCTGGGTGATGAACTCCCATGGTACTGGGTGGGGCGATCTATATGACGACAATAGAGCGGCTATTTTTTACGATTTATGTGACGATTTCAATTTGACTATTTTGAACACTGGTGAAGCGACACGTATAGCAAAACCTCCGGCTCGAGAAAGCCGACTCGACCTATCTTTGTGTTCAAGATCGCTATCATTGGATTGTCAGTGGAAGGTTATCAATGATCCCCAGTGTGTGGCCCTCACTCTGCAGAACCATCTCGGGTTCCATTTGATCTTACAAGGAACATCGACTGGCAGAAATATGCAACGGCGGTGACAATCGGTGTCGAATCAATAGATGCGCTTCCACCATTGGAAGAATATCGATTCCTAGCCGATTTGATTTACAAAAGCTCACTGGAAGCACAAAAAAGAAAAGTTCCAAGTGCACCCTTTAAAAGGAGACCAGCCACACCTGGTTGGGACGAAGAATGCACAAAATTGTATGTAGAAAAATCTGATGCTTTCAAAGCTTTTCGTAGACACAAAACCTCCACTTACTTCGAGGAATATTCAAAGCTTGAGACAAAGCTGAAACAATTAATCAAAGCAAAAAAACGCGGTTATTGGCGCAATTTCGTCGAGGGACTCTCACGAGAAACCTCAATGAACACCTTGTGGAGGGTGGCTCGCAACATGCGTAACCGCTCATCTTTCAATGAGAGTGAAGAATACTCCAACCGATGGATATTCGATTTCGCTAAAAAGGTCTGTCCGGACTCAGTTCCAGCACAAAATATTCTTCGAGAAGCGTCTCCTAGCGGCGGCTCTCTGGATAGACCATTCTCAATGCTGGATTTCTCTATGGCTCTTCTTTCATCGAACAACTCCTCACCGGGAAGCGATATGATTAAATTCAATCTTCTGAAAAATCTCCCAGATATCGCTAAAAGACGCTTGCTAGATTTATTCAATTCCTTGTTAGAAAACAACATTGTACCGCCTGAATGGAGACAGGTCAAAGTAATAGCCATTAAAAAACCTGGCAAATCAGCGTCCGACCATAACTCATACCGTCCGATTGCTATGCTTTCGTGCATTAGGAAATTGTTGGAGAAAATGATCCTTCGGAGACTCGATCACTGGGTCGAATCAAATAACTTGCTATCAAATACACAGTTTGGGTTCCGCAAGAGCAAAGGAACAAACGATTGTCTAGCGCTGCTTTCCACCGATATTCAACTGGCCTTTGCGCACAAGGAGCAATTGGCTTCAGTATTCTTGGACATTAAGGGGGCTTTTGATTCAGTTTCCATTGAAATTCTGTCAGACAATCTGCACAGATGTG